TTGTCTTCAATACAAAGATGGACACACTTGATCAGTTATCTGAGTCAAGAAATATGAATCCAGAAAGCAAAAACTCTTGCTGGCATCTCTTCTCTGCAACTCCTCTTTCTGGCATATTTTTACTTCTTTCTTGCTAGGAAAAGGCTTCTGCAGGCTAGCAAAAGGTGTACCTGGCTACTGTCTCACTCCAAGTGATATCCGGGTCTTGCAGGCATCTCCTGGAACTCACTCACTGTCCCCCACTTCATGCCTGTAGRGATGAGTTGCTATTTGGAAAATCAATAAAGTAGTCACAACGATTTTTTTATGCTTATATGTTCACTATTATTTATATTCACTATTATTCACTCATTATATGTTGGCCATTGCTTCCATAGTCCAGATACTCATTGCAAAGCATGATAGAAAACTGTCTGGGTCAGGTCTTTCCCTCCTTCTCATCTGTAATAACTCCCATGAAAATCACCTGAGTTAGGGCCATGTAGGGCCTGTATTTGTCAGTGTATGACAGGGAAACATTCTGCATTTGAGTGCTTCCTCAAATCTGAAATTTCAACAAGTTCACTGCTATATTATTAATTTATTAACATGTCACTAAGTGTTGGTTGTCCCATGGTAAGCACTTTCCAGACCTTCTTGTAAGAATGAGGAAGATTGCCACCTAAAGGGTGGTCAGGCATTGAGCAGGCTGCCCAGGGAAGTGATTGAGCCACTAGGTATAGATGTGCACTTGAGGATGTGGTTTAGTGGTGGAGTTTGGCATTGTTGGGTTTGCAGCTGAATTCAATGATCTCAGAATTGCTTTTCCAGTCGAAATGCTTCATATTCTGAATAAAATGTGATTCATGTGGTTACTTTAYCTAACATTCACTYRTGSCTSTCATTCAGAGAGACTGAAAGTGTCCTTGTGTTCTTCCCTTTCCCCCAGATGGATCCCTGCTCTTTCAGCAGGTGCCAATGGTAGAGATCGATGGAATGAAGATGGTGCAGACCAGAGCCATTGCCAACTACATCTCAACGAAGTACAACCTCTACGGGAAGGACCTGAAGGAGAGAGCCCTGTACTRTACCAGTAGCACCTTTGCTTGTTAGACCCCAGCTCCTACTGTAGCTCTGTGTAACACAAGAATATCCCAGCTCACAGTGGATGAGTGGGGCAGAGCAGCACTTCATGCAGCGTGTGTTGACTGTGACCACAGGCGATGTCTACAGCAGTGACAGCCAGCTAGATTAGATGGGGCAAGAGAGCCCATGAACCATCAGCCAGAGGTCAATGCAGTTATCAGAAGAAAGCAGTCAGGAGGCCACACTGTCTTACTGATGATGCTTTTCATTTTCTCCTGCAGTTGTCTGTGGCATCATTTTCACCTTGTCAAATTCAGGGAAATTGATTTGATAGAAACAAAAAAACCACCTTTCTCTAAAAACCAGGAATTAGTACAGAATTAGAATGAATAACTGGTTGTTAAAGGACAGGACTGTTAGGGCACATATTTTGTCCTGAGATATTTTTGAATGTTTCAAATTAATAAGCACTGGTAAACACATGTCAAGATATTTGCTAGAAATTGTATAGACCTACTGTTTAACTTACCCTGGCTGATTGGATTTTTAACACCAGTTTGGATGGCACCTACGAAGATTTTGTACTCAGGTTCGAAAACCTTAGTACAGAGAAGTCTCAGTCYCAGTGAGAAGTGGAAAGGGTAAAATCTTTAGGTTTTGCTTTGCCTTTCATCCATGCTCTTCCCTTGCCTGTCCCCGATGCAATTGCATTCTGGGG